TGTTGTTTGGCGGGTCCCGGCTGGGGATTCGAACCTGCCACCTTAGGTGTACGTGGCTGGTGCCTTAGCCGGTTGAGCTATAGGCACTGAGCCAACATCAAGTTTTATAACATGATTTCTTCTTCTTTAACTTTTTTTTTTTTTGAGACAGAGCCTCAAGCTGTCCCCCTGGGTAGAGTGCCATGGCTTCACTGCTCACAGCAACCTCCAACTCCTAGGCTCAAGCATGTCTCCTGCCTCAGCCTCCCAAGTAGCTGGGACCACAGGCGCCCACCACAACGCCTGGCTATTTTTGGTTGCAGCCATTATTGTTGTTTGGCAGGCCTGGGATGGATTTGAACCTTCCACCTTAGGTATATGTGACTGGTGCCTTAGCCGCTTGAGCCACAGGCACTGAGCCCTTTAACTTTTTTTTTGAGACAGAGTCTTACTTTCTCAACCCTTGTAGAGTATCATTGTGTCATATCTCACAGCAGCCTTAGACTCTTGGGCTTTTGGGCTTCACTGATTCTCTTGCCTCAGCCTCCTGAGTAGCTGGGACTACAGGCCCCCCACTGCAACACTGGGCTTTTTTTTTAGAGACATGGTCTCTTTCTAGCTCAGACTGTTCTCAAACCTAGGAGATCACGCGATCCATCTACCTTGGCCTCCCAGAGTTCTGGGATTACAGCATGAGCCACTATGCCTGGCTTCTTTAACTTTTTTGTTGTTGTTGTTGCATTTTAGCCGGTGCCGGGTTTGAACCCACCACCCTTGGTATGTGGGACTGGTGCCCTACTCACTGAGCCACAGGCGCTGCCTTTCTTTTTTGTAGAGACAGAGTCTCACTTTGTTGCCCTTGGTAGAGTGCAGTGGTGTCACACAACTCACAGCAACCTCTAACTCCTGGGTTTAGGTGATTCTCTTGCCTCAGTCTCCTAAGTAGCTGGGACTACAGGCACCCGCCACAACACCTGGCTAGCCGCTGCCCTTCTTTAACTTTTTATTGTGGAAAACTTTAAATATCTACAAAATTGAAAGATAGGTACCTAACACAATAACTAAGAAAATTACGTGAAGGCTATGTTAACCAGTTTGATGGAAGTGTTTCGAATTGTTTGTGAAAACACCACACTGTACCCCAGAAGTGCATTAATGTACACAGTTACTATTCAATGAAAAAAAAAAGAAAGAAAGATAGGTACCCATATCTCTGCTTCAGCAATATCACTACATGCCATTCTTGCCTCATCTATCACTCCACTCACATCTTTGCTGCCTGTTTATTCAATACCATTTCATCTATATATTGTAGGATATATCTAGAAAAAATAAGGCTTCATAAAGCAAAGGATTTCTGAATAGTCTAGCACATTTGTATTTAAATGCTTTGCAAATGTCGTAACATATATAAAGTCTTCACTTGTACTTTTATCCATATTGATTTCAGAATGCTTCACAATTTTTCCAGCAGGGGGCACTTGAAGGCTGGAGGGATTTAGGTATGCAAAGGAGGATAAGTACAGGGAACCCCTGAGCTTCTATTATAAACCAGAATGATCGCTCTTTTCTCCTGCCTTTTAAAAAATCTCTTTGGTGAATCTAGATGCAAAGCAAAAGATGCGACAGGCCTGGAAGTCCTGGTTGATCTACGTGGTTGTTCGTAGGACCAAACTTCAGATGCAGGCCACCGCTCTGGAGTTTAGGCAAAGGAGTATCTTAAGGTAAGCACACTCAGTTGCCCTGCAGGTCAGCTGCTTTCATTTCCCCTCAGCAGTTTTCTGCTGCTGGAAAGCAGCATGAAAACCCACTTTAACAACAATGGTTTCTAACAAAAGTGGTATGTCATAAATCTTTATTGATGACTTGCTTAAGTGTGATTTTTACATAATCAATGCTAATTGAGTACTAAACTGTCTTTTAAACCCTGTGTTAAGTTTGTATGTATTAATTTCTTTAAAATATCTCATTTAGTCCTTGACATAAACTTTAAAATAAGTACCATTATTGTGCAGATTGAGATACGCAATAAGGCTCAGAGAAGTTGATTAACTTGCCTGAGCTTGTACAAATTGTAATGGGCAAAACCTAGGGCTCAGCTATCCATGCTCTTAACTGCTGCTCTGCACTGCATCTCATGAGCATTGTGGATGTATTGGAGAGACACAAATTAGTCCAGTTTGAAGCCAGACATGTGTAGCAATGCGCTGCTTTATTCTGGGACTGCTTCTCCTATATATTGTATGTAGGGGTCCACTGGTATCTTAAATGACAGTATGTTTTTTGTTTTGTTTTGTTTTTTTGAGATAAGAGTCTCAGCAGACAGGAGAGTCCAGGCACCAGTCGATTAGAGGAAGCAGCTTTATTTCGGCCAGGGGAACTCTGAAAACCAGTGTTTCCAAAACCGAGCCCCCCCCCAACTCAGTCTCTTCCCTCTCTTTTATCCACTTTTCAGGGTGTGAGTGCATATGAGGGTCATAAAACAGAGAGAGATATGACATCATCCTCAGGGTCCTGGGCTCAAGGTGGAAGGTCAGATTTGCCTGTGTCCTTGAGACCAGTCAGGCTACCTGCCCTCAAAGGCAACGGAAGCCTAAGGAAGTTACTAGGTTACAATCTAGGCCCTGCGCATGTCAAGGGAGGAACATACAGACAACAGAAACACCTGCTGCTTGGCTAAGACCTACGCAGGGTGGCTAGGACAGATTCTTTTTAGCTCTGCTATTACTTTCCTTGCCTCAGTATCACTCTGGGTAGAGTGCTATGGCGTGATAGCTCACAACAACCTCAAACTCTTGGGCTCAAGAGATCCTCTTGCCTTGGACTCTCTGGCTAGTTTTTCTGTTCTTAGTAGAGAAGGGGTCTCATCTTGCTCAGGCTGATCTCAAACTCCTGGGCTTGGGCAATTCACTCCTTGGCCTCCCAGACTGCTAGGATTATAGGCTCTAGCCACCACCCCCAGCCTGAATGGCAGTATGTTAAAAGCATAGTTCCTGCCTGAAAGAACTGAGCACTAAATATAGTATGCATAAGAGCAGAATTCATGGGCGGCACCTATGGCTCAGTGAGTAGGGCACGAGCCCCATATACCGAAGGTGGTGGTGCAAACCCAGCCTGGCCAAACTGCAACAACAACAAAAATAGCCAGGCATTGTGGTGGGCGCCTGTGGTCCCAGCTACTTGGTAAGCTAAGGCAGGGGAATTGCCTAAGCCCAAGAGCTGGAGGTTGCTGTGAGCTGTGACTCGACGGCACTCTACCCTAGGCAACAAAGTGAGACTCTGTCTCTAAAAAAAAGAAAAACAGGCTCGGCGCCTGTGGCTCAAGTGGCTAAGGCGCCAGCCACATACACCTAAGGTGGCGGGTTTGAATCCAGCGCGGACCTGCCAAACAACAATGAGGGCTGCAACCAAAAAATGGCCGGGCATTGTGGCGGGCGTCTGTGGTCTCAGCTACTTGAGGCAGGAGACTCGCTTGAGTCCAGGAGTTGGAGATTGCTGTGAGCTGTGAGGCCTCAGCACTCTACCCAGGGGGATAGCTTGAGGCTCTGTCTCAAAAAAGAAAAAGAAAAATAGCATTCAAAATTTATTCATTTATTTTATTTATTTATTTTGAGACAGAGTCTATGTTGCCCTCAGTAGAGTACCATGGCGTCACAGCTTACAGCAACCTCAAACTCTTTGGGCCTAAGCGATTCCCTTGCCTCAGTCTCTCGAGTAGATGGGACTACAGGTGCCCACTATAATACCTAGCTATTTTTTGGTTGCAGTTGTCATTGTTGTTTAGCAGGCCTGGGCTGGGCTCGAACCTACCAGCCTCGGTGTATGTGGCTGTCGCCCTACTCACTGAGCTATGGGCGCTGAGCCTATTTATTTATTTTGAGACAGTCTCAGTTTGTTGCCCTTGGTAGAGTGCCATGGCATAGCTCACAGCAACCTAAAATTCTTGAGCTCAAGCAATTCTCTTGCCTAAGCCTCCCAAGTAGCTGGGACTACAGGTGCCCACCACAATGCCTGGCTATTTTTAGAGACAGGGTCTTACTCTTGCTCAGGCTCATCTTGAACCTGTGAGCTTAGGCAATGTACCCACCTCAGCCTCCTAGAGTATTAGGATTACAGGTGTGAGCCACTATGCCTGGCCAACATTCAAAATTTATTGGGCAAAAATTTTTTTTTTATAGACACAGTCTCACTTTATCGCCCTCAGTATAGTGTGGTGTCACAGCTCACAGGAACCTTCAACTCCTGGGTTTAGGCAATTCTCTTGCCTCAGCCTCCCGAGTAGTTAGGACTATAGGCACCTGCCACAACACCTGGCTATTTTTTGTTATAGCTGCCACTCTCGGTACATGGGGCCAGTGTCCTACCCACTGAGCCACAGGCGCTGCCCTGAGCAAGAATTTTTTTTTTTTTTGAGATAGAGCCTCAAGCTATCCACCTGGGTAGAGTGCTGTGACATCACAGCTCACAGCAACCTCCAACTCCTGGGCTCAAGTGAGTCTCCTGCCTCAGCTTCTCAAGTAGCTGGGACCACAGGAGCCCACCACAATGCCTGGCTATTTTTTGGTTGCAGCCATCATTGTTGTTTTGGCAGGCCTGGACTGGATTCAAACCTGCCACCTTAGGTGTATATGGCTGGTGCCTTAGCCACTTGAGCAAGAGGCACCGAGCCAGCAAGAATTTTTAAATGCTTAATTTATATGCAATTTTACTTGAGTCTATGTGGGATATTCTTACTTAATTCATCTACTCAATTACATATGAGAATTTAAAATTTTCCTCATACTGTATTGGTGCTAGGGCTATATACAGTGAACTTATGATTCCCTAATTGCTTAAAAAGATACGTGAGAGTGTAAAATACCTTAAGGTTTTAAAGAGAATGGTAAAGGTAAGCATGGTCTAAGAGAAATTTTTATAGATTAGAATGACCAAAGTGAGTGTTTCTATAAAGCAGAACATGCAAACTCTTCTTTCCTTATTACTATTTTTCTACAGCAAAATGTAAAATAAGTGGAGAATAAACTAAGATTCAAATGTAACTTAAGGTAGGTGGAGTGGCTCATGCCTGTAATTCTAACACTTTGGAAAGCCAAGGCAGAGAAGTAGCTTGAATTTAGGAGTATGAGCCCAGCCTAAGTAAAAGCAAGACCCTTCCTCTATTAAGAATAGAAAGATATGCTGGGCATTGTGGTGGGTGCCACTCAGGAGGCTGAGGCAAGAAGATCACATGAACCCAGGAGTTTGAGGTTGCTGTGAGCTAGGTCTAGGCCACAGTACTCTAGCCTGGGCAAAAGAGTGAGACTCTGTCTCAAAAAAAAAAAAAAGAAAAGAAAAGAAAAGAAAGATAGGAAGAAAGAAATTAACGTCTATCCAGCCCAATAGGAAGGGAAGGGATCTAGCAAAACTAGAAATCTAAAATCTACTTACTTGCAGGTTATTCTGTGAAATCTCCTGATCGTAATAACTCATATTTATTTCTTTTTAATTATAATTTTTTTTAAAGATGGAATGTCATTATGTTGCCTAGGCTGCTTTCAAACTCCTGAACAATCTCCCTGCCTCAGCCTCCCGAGTACTATAGAAATACACTGCTGGGCCTGGCTAATGACTCAGATTTTGAGAAAGCTAACCTCTGTAGACCAAACAGAGCACATCTAATGTTGGAAGCTTAGGAGCTGTCAGTTTCCAACCCTCAATTCGTGGCTCTAGGACTGTTTTTTGTTTGTTTTGGATTTTTCTTAGCAGTGGATCTAGCAGATGTCTATCCAGACATGGCCTTGTGAGGGAGAAGGACTTGAACTGAGGGCCCAAGGCCCAGCATTTACTGCCCTTTTTTTCTGGATGGCTTTTAACTGACTGGTTCCATTTTCAATTTGCTCTTTGCCAGGATGTGGTGGAGCAAGTGGAGGCGGCAGCTAGAACAGATCCAGGGGAGCCATGCTCTCTATGCCTCCGCTGTGAAGCACAGGGCCCTCAGCCTCCAGCTGCGGGTAAGTCTAGTCAACATAGGTTTTGGCATCCTCTGTCTACGTTGTCCAACCCACACCCACAGAGAGCAGACTCCCCAAAGGAGGAAGCCGTCAAACTGCTGCCTCTCTCCTGGGCCCTTCTAGCAGCTCAGAGACTGAGGAGTGGATAGAGCGCAGAGACAGTAGAGAAGACTGGGCTTATCTTAGAGGTTTTTTTTAAGGAACCACTAGCTTTGGGTCAATTATAAAGGTTTGAGTCTTGTGTCAAAACTATGGTGTGGTGAAACGTTCTTATCCTTTAATATATTCTCTGAATTCCTGTCACTGTTTTGTGTCTGCTGGGTACTTACAGAGCTGCCAAGTAAGTTATAGAAAATAGAACAGGAATGGCTCAGTTCTTATAGCTCAAGTGGCTAAGGTGCCAGCCACATACATCAGAGCTGGCAGGTTCGAATCCAGCCCGGGCTTGCCAAACAACAATGACAGCTGCAACCAAAATATAGCCGGGCGTTGTGGCAGGCACCTGTAGTCCCAGCTACTTGGGAGGCTGAGGCAAGAGAATAGCTTAAGCCCAGGAATCGGAGGTTGCTGTGAGCTATGACAGCACATTACTCTACAGAGGTTGACAAAGTGATACTCTTTCTCAAAAAAAAAGTTTGTAATAACAGATTTGTTTAAATATTCTTAGTGGTAATACTTTTTCATGGTTTGAGGGTAGATTTAACTATAAAAACAGCCAAAAGTCAATCAGAGTCAAATGTAATGAAAAATATGAATAATTGGCTCGGCGCCTGTGGCTCAAGTGGCTAAGGCACCAGCCATATACACCTAAGGTGGCAGGTTTGAATCCAGCCCGGGCCTGCCAAACAACAATGGCTGCAACCAAAAAAACAGCCTGGTGTTGTCGTGGCCGCCTGTGGTTCTAGCTATTCGGGAGGCTGAGGCAGGAGACTCACTTGAGCCCAGGAGTTGGAGGTTACTGTGAGCTGTGATGTCATAGCACTCTACCCAGGGGAATAGCTTGAGTCTCAAAAAAGTCTTGAATAGCTTTGTCTCAAAAAAAAAAAAAAGAAAGAAAAATATGAATAATCAAGATAACGTTCGCATACAAAAACTATACAAGGCTCTTAAATAAGCCCCAGACTTCATTGTGTGGATTATAATAACGCCTCATGTTTGATAAGTACCATATGGTTTACCTAGAGTTACACTTCAGTGTTGTTTTAACCAAGTGTCTCACTTAGTTACTGTCAGTAGAGTGCAGTGACATCACAGCTTACAACAACCTCAAACTCGGGCTCAAGCAATTTTCTTTTTTCTTTTTCTTTTTTTTTTTTTTTTGAGACAAAGTCTCACTTTATTGCCCTCGGTAGAGTGCCATGGCATCACAGCTCACAGCAACCTCCAATTCCTGGGCTTAGGTGACTCCCTTGCCTCAGCCTCCTGAGTAGCTCGGACTACAGGCACTTGCCATAATGCCCAGCTATTTTTTGTTGCAGTTTCTCCGGGGCTGGGTTTGAACCCACTACCCCTCAGTATATGGGGCCAGCGCCCTACTCACTGAGCCACAGGCGCCGCCCAACTCAAGCGATTTTTTTTCCTCAGACTCCTGAGTAGCTCGGACTACAGATGCCTACCACAACACCTGGCTATTTTTAGAGACAAGGTCTTGTGGTGGTATCGAACTTGTGAGCTCAGGCAATCCACCTTCCTTAGCTTCCCAGAGTGCTGGGATTACAGGTGTGAGCCGCTGCTCCCCGTTTTACACTTCAGCATTTCTCTTAATCCACACAGCATTTCTGTCCACTAGGCAGGGCAGACCTCATGAGATTCGTGAAATTTTAGTAAATGAAATTAGTATTTCAAATATAGAACATGTAAAATATAAAACATATAATTTAATAGATACCCAAGTACGCACGACCCCGATTTAAAAGGTGTTAGCATTTTCTATACTTGCTGCAGAATTTTTTGAAGTATATAATGGACACTGCCAAAGCCCTTCCTTGTGTCCCTTCTGCTGCCTTTCCTCCACAGAAATAGCCACTATTCTGATTTTGGTATGATTTTTTTCCCTGTATTCTTTTTTTCTTGTTAAAATGCATGAACACATCCATAAAGAATAAATATGTAGTGTATGCTTGTAGTCCCAGCTATTTGAGAGGCTGAGGCAGAAAGATTGCTTGAGGCCAGGATTTCGAGGCCAGCCTGGACACCATAGCAAGACCCTGTGTCCAAAAAAAAAAAAAAATGAAGAGTAAATGTTTTGGCTCTGTGTAGTTAAGAACATTTATGAATGGTGTCACACTGTACCATACTGTACAGCTGATCTTTTTTTTGAGACAGAGCCTCAAGCTGTACCCCTGGGTAGAGTACTGTGGCATCACAACTCACAGCAACCTCCAACTCCTGGGCTCAATCGAGTCTCCTGCCTCAGCCTCCCAAGTAGCTGCAACCACAGGAGCC